AGCTTGAGGCTCTGTCTCAAAAAAAAAAAAAAAAAAAGAAGAGATATGATTCAAGTTATAAATCACTGGCTAAAACTGGTGTATGATCCTAAGAAATCATATATCTTCTATAAGAGTAAAATTTAGAAAAGCAAGAGTCTTAGCACTCTGATAGGCTGAGGCAGGAGGATTGCTTGAGGTAAGGAGTTTGAGACTAGCCCGAGCAAAAGCGAGAACCTATCTCTATAAAAAAATGGAAAAATTAGCCAGGCTTTGTAGTATGTGCCTATTGTCCCAGTTACCTAGTCTGAGGTAGGAGAATTGCTTGAGCCCAGGAGTTTGAGGTTGCTGTTAACTATGAGGATGCCACTGCACTCTAGCCAGGTAAACAGAGAGAGCCCTGCCTCAAACAAAACAAAACAAGAAGAGCAAGACTAAAATTAAAAAGCTTTTAACAGGAGCAAGAATGAAACTAAAAGGATGTAAGATGTCTTCATTATAATATTCTCCTCTATTAGGGGCAGGTGTTTTATTTTAATGTATTCTTTCAAAAACAAAGAAATCTTTCCTAAGTGAAAAATTTTTGTCATTACTGCAAAGTTATTCCTTTCCATTCATGACATTTTACATAGCATCATTTAAGCACCAAAGAAAAATTCTGTAAACAAACTTTTACCCAGTAAACTAAGGGCAAATAGACATTTGCCTTTATTACAATCTTTAAAAGGCCATGATATGAGTCTCTACTTCCTACAATGACATTTTCATAATAAAAATCCAGGCATATTTATACAAACATGAAACAGAATTACTGTACATTTGGGGGGAACAAAATGCAGATCAACAGACTAGAACTCTTTAGTTAATAAAGTGAGCACAAGAAACCTATAAAATGTATGCAATGTATAAAAATTCAGTATTTTTTAAAGTTTCACTGAAGGGATTAATGCTTATTAACAATAAAAGATGGTATTTCCATTGGCTTATAATTATCCTGTAAACAGTAAGAAAGTAATAAGCAATAAATTAGAAATATCTTAACTCTCGAGTATTTCCCTTCTCTCATACAGCAATCAGTTTTACAGCAATATTAGAATAATTCTAGCAGAAAATAAATTCTATCAGAAATAAGTTAACAGTCAACAGCAGATTTTTGACAAATATATTAGAAAAAAATACAGGTCACATGAGGACAGATCTACATGTTATGTTACAGAGTAACTCAACCCTTCAAACCTTCTCTATTCTACCATTACATTGTTGCTATTATATTGCTTTCTAAAGTGTTTGGTAGCAAGGTAATAGAAAAATAAAAAGTGAAAAGAACAGGACAATTATCTAATGTCTACAGATTTATGAAGAAAAACCCTCAAAATAATTTTTTCCTATTACTGTTACTTAGGAAAAAATTTCATTTGGCACAATAAATGTATTAAAACAAACAAAAAAGAAGCTAGAAACTTAATGGTGTTTGGGCATTCTAATCACCCATAGTTAAGACAAAAGTAGGAAAGTAAAGCAGGAAAAAAAAAAAACCGCAAGAAGACAAACAACCAAAGCTTCTTGTGTCTTCTACCATTCACTGTCTCTGGAATACTTTCATCTGCAACACAATATACAAATTATTTACATTATGATTATATTGGTAAAGACGACCAGAATCCGTTTGTGTTGTGCTCGAATTTACAGTAGTCACTGGGATACCCATGACCATCAAGGCAAGAAGGCCTTCACAAACAAAATATTCCATTCGCATTGTATCTTTTATTTAAATTTGTTATCTGGTTCAAGGTTGGTGCACAAATATGTAAGACTCTGAAAAATCCTGTAAACTTAGGCTGAGTTTCTGTAGCTAGTAATTGTTCACTGAAGAATGTGCATTGCTCTCCTATTAAGTAAAATGTTCTGCAGGCTAACAAAGGTATACCCTTAAACGGTGGTATCTCCAAAGTCCTTGTTCCAACGTATGTATGCTTCTAAGGTTTGAGGGCTCACGCTGCGTTTGATCTTTTTCAAGGATTCAGTGAAGTCAGATAATCGAATATTTCTCATCTAGATTAAAAAGAAAAAATACAAAACAAATGATGAACATGTATAAGATGGTTAATTCCATGAAAGATTAAAGTAACAGTGCTACTGTTTATTAATGTTATAATATAGTATACAGATATCCTGAAAGTCATGCCAGTCATTTTAATAAGCTTGCTATATAAGAAACTTTATAAAGTGCTTTATCAATTAACATACTTTTATTACTTGTGTTTAGTTTCATAGTAGTAAGATTTCAAAGCATTTTGTAATGTAAAAACAATACATGCTCATAAGTTGACAAAATACAGATTCATGGTTCCACAATTCACATATACAACCACTATTTGAATTACAGCAGAACCTTCCCAGTTGATCACCTCCTTACAGTGAAAAACTCCTTAAGTTGACCTAATTTTCATAGACTAGACATGCGCCATGTACATATCATATCAACACAGGAGGCTAGTTTCTTATACTGACCATCTCCATATGTTGACCATTTGTTATAGTCCCTTGGTAGGTCAACTTACAGAGGTTCCACTATATTTGAGTAATGCTAGAAAAGTCATTCAACTTTTGCTTTACCTACACCTTTAGATAACACATCTAAAATAGAAAGTAAGGTTAAACAACAAGACTTTGCATTTAGGCTTATTTTCATAGTAGTGACATAATGTGCAATTAAGAAACCAGAATAGGCTCGGCGCCTGTGGCTCAAGTGGCTAAGGCGCCAGCCACATACACCTAAGGTGGCGGGTTTGAATCCCCAGCCCGGGCCCGCCAAACAACAATGATGGCTGCAACCAAAAAAAATGGCCGGGCGCTGCACCTGTGGTCCCAGCTACTTGGGAGGCGGAGGCAGGAGACTCGCTTGAGCCCAGGAGTTGGAGGTTGCTGTGAGCGTGATGCCATGGCACTCTACCCAGGGGGATAGCTTGAGACTCCGTCTCAAAAAAATAAAAAAAAAAAAAGAAACCAGAATAATGTAAAAATGCCAGTTGAAAGTTACTTCAGATAAGGCTGAATAACCTGGTCTCAGGAATGACAGAAACCTTAGTAAACTGGAACCTAAGGAAGAGCAGGATCTGTGGAAGAGCCAGGCCTTAGGGTTTGTATCCTGGTACACACCTATCTTTATATGGCCACATCTGTCAAACGGAACATTTGTTTCTTCGACTTTGGATTCACAAGAAAGGGAATATAATGACCTAGCTCAGCTTTTCATAACAGACTCACAAAACAGATCAAGGTAAGCCTATGAACAGGTAAGACTTATTCCATAAGTGCCTCCATTCTATACAAAATCAACTTAACAAAGGTTCTACTATTGCATTTCCTTTTCCAATGTTATACTTACATGAAATCTGCTCTCACCTGTTACACACATACTCCACCTGAATTCATGCTAGGGTTTATTACAAAAGAAAGGGAAGTTGAAAAGAAATGCATGGGACTTTAAAGCAGTGGTTCTCAACCTTCCTAATGCCACGAACCTTTAATACAGTCCAAAGGGGTCGTGACCCACAGGTTGAGAACCACTGCTTTACTGCTCTTTAATTACAACATGTAAAATGCTTATATCTGAATTTTTCTAAAGTTTTAATATTGTTTACAATGCATTTTATATTAATTTGGTTTTATTTTCCAACTTTTTTTTTTGAGACAAGTTTATGTTGCCCTCGGTAGAGTACCATGGCATCACAGCTCACAGCAACCTCAAACTCTTGGGCTTAAGTGATTCTCTTTCCTCAGCCTACGATGTAGCTAGGACTACAGGCATTCACCACAACACGTGGCTATTTTTTTGTTGTAGTTGTCATTGTTGTTCTTGTAGGCCCAGGTCGGTTTTGAACCTGCCAAACCCAGTACATGTGGCTAGCGCCTTAATCACTGAGGTACAGGTGCCAAGCCTTTCTTAACATTTTAAATTGCCTTTGGAAATATATATATTAAAACTGCTATGTTGGCTGGGCACAGTGTCTCATGCCTGCAATCCTAGCACTCTGGGAGGCCAAGGTGGGTGGTGTGCTTGAGTTCAGTAGTTTGACACCAGCCTGAGCAAGAGTGAGACTCTGTGGGCATTATGGCAGGTGCCTATAGTCTCAGCTATTTGGGAGGCTGAGGCAAAAAGAATGCTTGAGCCCAGGAGTTTGAGGTTCCTGTGAGCTATAATTCCACGGCACTCTAACCTGGGGCAACAGAGTGAGACTCTGTCTCTAAAAAAAAATAAAACAACAAACAAAAAGCCCAAATGCTAAGTTAATAAATATGTGCATTAAAAAAAATAGTATGTGTATTTACCTAATTTTTTTTTAATATAGTCACTTCTATCTTATTGGCCTTATATGTCTGTCTGTATATTAATGCCATACTGTTTTACACTGTTTTTATTACTGTAGCTCCATAATATATTTTTATTTTTGTTTTTTACAGATTAATATAAGGGTACATACGGTTAGTTACATTTTTTGCATTTGTTAGGTAACTCCAAGCTGTAGTTGAGTCCTTTACTTAGGAGGTATGCCATATACCCTACAGTGCACCTGTTAGGTGAGAGCTTACTGAAGTGCTTCCTCTCTTCCCCTTCTACCTACATATTTTTAAAAGGAAAAATGAAGTTTGGCACAAATGCCCTGTGTTAAAAATCATTAGTAGTATATACCTACATATTGGTGCAAAAATAAGGATTTGAAGAATTGTAGACAAAATTTCAATAACCAGTATTTATATTATTATTCTTATAAATCTCAATCTAACTACTTCATATTATCTTTGAGATCTCCATGAGTACAGATTTAAAATCACCTACACCGACAGCATAGCATCAAGAATGGAAGAAAAGGATGGTGTCTGTGGCTCAGTGAGTAGGGCACGAGCCCTATATACCGAGGGTGGCGGGTTTGAACCCAGCCCTGGCCAAACTACAGCAACAACAACACAAAGGATGGAAGAAAAAGTATCCAATGTACTCAGCTTTATTATGAAACCAATTTATAAGCACCCACACTTCCATATGAAAGCTATAACCCAACTACAGCCCAAGATGAAGAGGAAAGGGGGGGAGAGGATTGGGGGAGGGAGGGTAATGGGTCGTACCACAACTACGGTGCATTTTACAAGGGTACATGCTAAATCTACTAAGTGTAGAATATAAATGTCTTAACACAATAACTAAGAAAATGCAGTGAAGGCTATGTTAACCAGTTTCATGAAAGTATTTCAAATTGTATATATAAAACCAGCACACTGTACCCCATAATTGCATTAATGTACACAGCTATGGTCTAATAGAAAAAAAAATAAAATAAATAAAATCACCTATTCTTGTGGCTTGGCGCCCGTAGCATGGTGCACAGTGGTTACAGCGTTAGCCACATACAACGAAATGGGCGGGTTCAAACCAGCCTAGGCCAGCTAAACAACAGTGACAACTGCAACAAAAAGTAGCTGGGCATTGTGGTGGGTGCTATAGTACCAGCACTCGGGAGGCTGAAGCAAGAGAATCGCTTGAGCCCGAGAGTATAAGGTTGCTATGAGCTGAGCTGTGATGCCATGGTACTCTACTGAAGGTGACATAGTGAGACTCTGCCACAAAAAAAAAAAAAAATCACCTACACTTGTAACTTGAAAACTAACCTAAAAAATTTTAGCCAGAAGGAAAAAGGACATGTAGTTACCACACAAACACCATGTAAGCCCTATTTATTTCCTTTCTTTTTTTTTTTTTTTTGCAGTTTTTGGCCAGGGCCAGGTTTGAACTTGCCACCTCTGGTATATGGGGCTGGTGCCCTACTCCTTTGAGCCACAGGCCTCACCCTCCTTTCTATTTTTTAAGATGGAGTCTTGGTCTGTTTCCCAGGTTAGAGTACAGTGGTATTGTCATAACTCACTGAAACCTCAAACTCCCGGGCTCAAGTAGGTCTCCCGCCTCAGAGTCCCAAGGGGCTGGAACTAAAGATATCTGCTACCACACCTGGCTGATTTTTCTATAATTTGCAGAGACAAGGTCTTATTATTCTAGGTTGAGTTCTATCTTTTTGTTTTTGTGGAGACCGAGTCTCACTTTGTCACCCTTGGTAGAGTGTCGTAGTGTCATAGCTCACAGCAACCTCAAATTCTTGGGCTCAGGTGATTCTCCTGCCTCAGTCTCTCAAGTAGCTGGGACTACAGGGGTCTGCCACAACACCCAGGGGGCTCGCTGTGGCTCAGACTAGTCTCTAACCTGTGAGCTAAGGAAATCAGCCCATCTCGGCCTCCCAGAGTGCTAGGATTATAGGCCTGAGCCACTGGCCCCTGCCTGAGCTTTATATATTTTGAAATTATTCAATGAACCCTTATGTAGAGTAATGACTACATGCCATACTATTTTAAGCTTTATAAATTTTTTTTTTTTTGAGACAGCGCCTCAAGCTGTCCCCCTGGGTAGAGTGCCATGGCATCACAGCTCACAACAACCTCCAACTCCTGGGCTCAAGTGAGTCGCCTGCCTCAGCCTCCCAAGTAGCTGGGGCCACAGGCACCAGCCAAAATGCCTGGCTGTTTTTTGGTTGCAGCCGTCACTGTTTTGGTGGGTCCGGACTGGATTCAAACCCGCCACCTTAGGTGTATGTGGCTGGTGCCTTAGCCACTTGAGCCACAGGTGCGGAGTCAAGCTTTATAAATATTAACTCATAAAGAGTAACAGCTAAAGGTCACTATCAGATTATTAATATTTAAACCACTAAATTAAAAATAAATTTAAACTGGATGAAAGTATATAGTGAAAACAAAAATGGTTACAATATAAGTGAGTATACATAATTAATGGGATAATCACAAAAGGTATCAATAATATTTCTTGTACTTCACTTAGATTATTAAGCTTTAGTTTTTAGTTCTGGTATCTAATTTGTTTTTTTTGGCCAGGGCCAGGTTTAAATCCACCACCTCTGGTATATGGGGCCGGTGCCCTACTCCTTTGAGCCACAGGCGCTGTCCCCAATTTTTTTGTTGTTGTTGTTGAGACAGAGTCTCACTGTGTTGCCTCTGGTAGAGTACCCTGGTGTAATAGCTCACAGCAACCTCTAACTCTTGGGCTCAAGAGATTCTCTTGTCTCAGCCTCCCAAGTAGCTTGGGGCTACAGTCGCCCAGCACAACATACGGCTTTTTTTTTTAAGAGATTGGGTCTTGCTCTAGCTCAGGCTTGTCTCGAACTTGTGAGCTCAGGTAATCTGTCCACCTTGGCCTGCCAAAGTGCTGGGATTACTGGCATGAGCCACTACACCCAGCTGGTGGTATCTAAATTTTTAACAGAAAATAACTTTATGACATTTTAAAGTGGTAGATAAATAAATGGTAGATACAATTATATTTTTCAGTGTTGGATTAAAAAATGAAATAGACTTGGGCAGCTCCTGTGGCCCAGTAGGTAGCATGCCAACCCCGTATACTGAGGGTAGTGGGTTCGAACCCAGCCCTGGCCAAACTGCAACAAAAAAATAGACAGGCATTGTGGACAATCACAAGAGTTTTGAGGTTGCTGGCTCGGCGCCTGTGGCTCAAGTGGCTAAGGCACCAGCCACATACACCTAAGGTGGCGGGTTCGAATCCCCAGCCCGGGCCCGCCAAACAACAA